GTCAAGGTTGAGGCAGATTGGCAAGGAAATGTGAAGCAGCTTGCATTGCCATTGTTTGTGCTGTATCTATTCTGTCAATTAAGAGAGGACTTCAACTACCAGGACTGCCAGTCCAGAACCTTTAAAGAGAACAGAATCATTTTTTAAATAAAATAATTAACATACTAAGATTTCTATACAAATGTATATAAATATGAAGTAAAATTTTGCATAATAAAATGTTTTGTTGGATTCTAAGTGGTAATAATGAGATTTTTTTTAAAAACAACGTCCTCTTCTATTAGCAGAACTATTAATGCAAATGGTTGGTTCTGTATTCACAACTAGCAAAGAGTCTGGCGTAGAGATGATGCAAGCACCAGAGTTCAGCATTGGAACTGAATGTGAACTTTCCTAGTGTTTTGGACAGTTTGAATTTGGGATTCCAGTTTAGGCTCATCTCGAGTAAGACAATCCCACACACAAAAATTTCCTAAGGTGAAATTAATTTTGTAGAAACATAGCAGAGGTTTAGTTTTTAAGTCTAATGTTATTGAAACTCAGATCACTGATATGTGCCTGCAAACTTGATTTTAATTTAACAAACTTTTCGGGTGTGGGAACATCCTTAATTTTTTTTAAAACAGTCCTAAATTCTGTTACAAAGGCTCCCTGTTCCTACAAACCCTTCCAGGCCTACAAGAGAGGAAGCTCAATCCAGCAGACTTTAGGAGGTTCAGTGATTAATGGGAATGGTCCCTTGGTCTGCTTGCTCACCCCACTGCTAACCCAACATTCTGTGGAGGGAAGTCCTGATGCTGCAGACTTCCCATGGTCTTCAAAAAGGAAGTCTTACTTCTGCAAATTCCTGTTGGTCCTCAGGATCAGGGCTCTCATCCAAGGAGGGCATAAGTGTGTCACTCTTCCTTTTGGCTTCATAGTGCCATAAGGACTAGAATTCTGCTGAGTGCAGGAAAGGGGGAGGGAAATGTGGCTGGGTAGGAAGCTTGATGAGCAGAACCAAGAGAAGAACCACTTCCCTTACCTTCCTGCTGCTTTTTAGACCCCATGAAGGGCTTACAGGGAGTGATAAGCCCCTTTCCCACATCTTGTGCAGCTCCATGAGTAACATTTTTTTGTATGAGACACCAAGTAAGAGTTTCCCTCTCAGGGACGCTCTGAATTTTAGAGGGAGTAACAAAATAAAGCTTTATACTGGAAATCAGTTGCAACCTTAACCAAGGAGCATGTTAACGAAGTTTAATAGACATAAAAATGGAACCTCTTGAAGGCTACACACAGAGGTATCATACATGAGTAAGAAAACTCAGAACTTCAGAACGATGTAAAAATGTGTTGATACTGTGCATGGTTAAAAGATGTTACTATCCCGGACTTCAATAACATATAGCATGATTCTGCAGACCCTTTCTCCCACATGTAGTATCACTGACTTTGCCAGGATTATGTGCAGGCACACACCTCCGGCAGAAGGAATCTTCCTATGGTTGGATCCACTGATAGAGCAACACAAAGCAGCCTGAATGCATCGGCGAATTGGCCCCATGGTGTGTATGTGAGTAGGTTGCTTTCTATTGGTTTGTTGCAACTTAGAAGCATTATAAGGTTATTTTTATAGCTGCTATGTAGTGAGCTCTTAAGTAATACACAGATGTTGGTTGGAAGAAGTAATAATGACTACAATAAGTTTACGTTCAACACCTTCGATGAGCAGTCATCAAAAATAAGAAACATGAAACCAAACTTAAGAAAGGGGAAACAAAACTTAAGAAATGGGTATTTCCAAAAAAATGAGGAAGCCAGTCAAAAAGACCCTAAAGCAAATGTGAAGCACTTTAAAATACTTAGACTCAGCATGGAGGTTTCTTAAATACACAACAGACTTACAAATGGCTTGCATAATCTTAAACAAAACATGAAGCAGAAATGCAAGCAAAACCAAAATGGTTAAAATACAAGAGGTTATTTGAGCCCAACAGCTAATCTTTGAGGGGAAGGGAGAGGAGAGGGAATCCAATCCTACTGACGCCAAAAGATGAGAGCATAAAATGTGGTATTCAATAATCAAGATGGAAAGTAGGAGGTCTAACAGGGATTTTGAAAAGTAAAGACTCACCCAATCTCATTTTTAGCTATGTTGGACTACCAAGCAGTAATTAAGGAGGAAAAGGATGTTGCAAAGAAGTTTAATGACTTTGTATCAGCCTTCACCATGGAGGTCATACCCTCTAAAGCCAAATAGGGACCTAGCTTCAGCAAGGTCTCGCCCATTCACCCGGATCCATCCCAAAGTTTTACCTTCTAGATAGGCAGCAAGCCTATTTATTTATTTATTCCTTTTACCTAATAAGTCTCTGTTCAATGGATTGAAATTTTTAAAGCAATTAGGGGATTTAGGCCCACAGCTGCCATTAAAATGTTTTAAAATTAATGGAATGTGTCTAAATCCCATAGGGTGCTTTGAAAATCTCAGTGCATTGGACAAAGACTTATCAAGTAAAGGGATAAATAATAAGAAATGATCACTTAAAACTACACATATAATGTGATCATCTACATCTATTAGACCAGTTCCACTGAAAAATGTCAATGTTAATATGATATGAAATTTAGCTGTCTCTAGAAAGGAAGAAAATGCTCAGTCTGGGCTAGCTTGGCTTCAGTGATACACATTACATTAGGTACAGACTTCTCAGATGATAATTATAGAATCATAGAATATCAGGGTTGGAAGGGAACTCAGGAGATCATCTAGTCCAGCCCCCTGCTCAAAGCAGGACCAATTCCCAACTAAATCATCCCAGCCAGGGCTTTGTCAAGCCGGGCCCTAAAAACCTCCAAGGAAGGAGATTCAACCACCTCCCTAGGTAACGCATTCCAGTGCTTCACCACCTTCCTAGTGAAATAGTGTTTCCTAATATCCAACCTAGACCTCCCCCACTGCAACTTGAGATCATTGCTCCTTGTTCTGTCATCTTCCACCACTGAGAACAGCCGAGCTCCATCCTCTTTGGAACCCCCCCTCAGGTAGTTGAAAGCAACTATCAAATCCCCCCTCATTCTTCTCTTCTGGAAACTAAACAATCCCAGTTCCCTCAGCCTCTCCTCATAAGTCATGCGCTCCAGACCCCTAATCATTTTTGTTGCCCTCCGCTGGACTCTTTCCAATTTTTCCACATCCTTCTTGTAGTGTGGGGCCCAAAATTGGACACAGTACTCCAGATGAGGCCTCACCAATGTCGAATAAAGGGGAACGATCACGTTCCTCGATCTGCTGGCAATGCCCCTACTTATACAGCCCAAAATGCCATTAGCCTTCTTGGCAACAAGAGCACACTGTTGACTCATATCCAGCTTCTCGTCCACTGTGACCTCTAGGTCCTTTTCTGCAGAACTGCTACCTAGCCATTCGGTCCCTAGTCTGTAGCAGTGCATAGGATTCTTCCGTCCTAAGTGCAGGACTCTGCACTTGTCCTTGTTGAACCTCATCAGGTTTTTTTTGGCCCAATCCTCTAATTTGTCTAGGTCCCTCTGTATCTGATTCCTACCCTCCAGTGTATCTACCACGCCTCCCAGTTTAGTGTCACCTGCAAACTTGCTGAGAGTGCAGTCCACACCATCCTCCAGATCATTAATAAAGATATTAAAGAAAACCGGCCCCAGGACCAACCCTTGGGGCACTCCGCTTGAAACCGGCTGCCAACTAGACACGGAGCCATTGATCACTACCCGTTGAACCTGACGATCTAGCCAGCTTTCTATCCACCTTATAGTCCATTCATCCAGTCCATACTTCTTTAACTTGGCGGCAAGAATACTGTGGGAGACCGTATCGAAAGCTTTGCTAAAGTCAAGGAATAACACTGGTGAGACCCAGGTACCAGATCTGTGTTGCTTTTGCACTGGATTGTGCCGAAGTCTGAAGTTTTTCTGGTCAAGTAGGAGTGGCAACATGTGTCGTTTATTTGGGATCAAAACCTGGTAGGAGCTGGCAATTTCTAGGTAGGTGTGTGTGTGTCTTTACCCACCTATTGAGGAGAGATGCACAGAGGTCTGGATTTCTACAAGTAGAGCCAGCTGCCCTTCTTCTCTATTTAACTGGTAGAAGTTTGGTATGAAGAGATGAGTGTGCTGAATGTTTTTGAGGTGTTGCTCTGCCAGTTTCAACAGTGTCCGGCTAAAAGCTGGTGCAGTTTTTCTCTATTCAGATGTAGAATTGGGGGAAATGAGGATAAAGAATTGGCAAAATCAACCACAATCTGGGTACCAGATACGTGTTTTTATAGTATTATTGGGCTAAAGTGCATCACAATCCAGATTATTCCAGTGAAGAAGGAGAGGCTATGTTTGTTTTCTATTCAGATTGTATAATTTGGGGCTTGGGCCAAAATTTGCGAGATCCATGTGGATCCAGGTGCTGGCTGTGGATATTGGTAGAACTCCTGCAGGGATGGATTGGGGTCTAGGCTTTTTTTTTCCGCAGTAGGATCGTCTAGATTTGTCCATTCGTGCCACAGAATTTGGGACTAAGGTCCTAAATCTGATGAGTCTGGCAGGGTTCATGTGTCAGATCTCAATGTCTGCGGTGGCTGCGTGCCAGGAGAGAGTCCAGGCCCACAATTTTTTAGCATGGACAGGGGATTGGGGGGCATTAGGGGCTGGACTCAGCAGGATGCAGGCCCCAGGGGACGCCGGTGCGGCTCTGGGGTTGCGTGCGGCTTCGTGCTCTCGGAACTTGCGGGGAGGAGGCAGCGGTGACTCCACTTGATCGGTGTTGATGGGACACTAGGGAACCTGGCCCCCAAAATCCCCAGGCCGAGGGTCAGTCCGGCTTTTCCCAGCGGTGCGCAGACCCGCCGGAGAGCGAGAGGGTTGGGCAAGGCCGGGCTGGCTCCCCGCCCCGGGGGCGGTGCTCGGGCCGTGCCCAAGGAGGAGGGGCGCTGCCGGCCGCCAGTGAGTCAGTCTGTGCAGCGCTGCGCGTAGCGGGCGGCGGGGTCGGGATGTTCAGCTGGATGGGGAAGCAGGCAGGCGGGCGGGAGCGGGCCGGCGGCGGCGACGCGGTGCAGACGGTGACCGGGGGGCTGAAGGAGCTGTACGCGCGGCGGCTGCAGCCGCTCGAGGACTATTACCGCTTCCAGGACTTCCACTCGCCCACGCTGGAGGAGGCCGACTTCGACAACAAGCCCATGGTGCTGCTGGTGGGGCAGTACAGCACGGGCAAGACCACCTTCATCCGGTAAATACCCCACCCCCCCCGCCGGCCTGTCTTCCGCAAATCCCCCCTTCCTCTGATAAATACCCTCCACTGCCTGCCTGCCTCCCTCCGCTAAATACCCCCCCCCGCCGCCTGCCTGCCTGCCTGCCTGCCTGTCTTCCTTCCGCAAATCCCCCCCCCCCGTCCTTTCTCTGGTAAATACCCTCCACTGCCTGCCTGCCTCCCTCCGCTAAATACCCCCCTCCCCTCCCCTCCCCTCCCCTCCGCCTGCCTGCCCGCCTGTCTTCCTTCCGCAAATCCCCCCGCCCTTCCTCTGGTAAATACCCTCCACTGCCTGCCTGCCTTCCTCCCACCTTCATCCAGTAAATACCGCCCGCCGGCAAATACCCCCCCCCCACACACACACTGCCTGCCTTCATCCGGAAAATACCCCCGACCCCCGCCGCTGCCCACGTACGTGAATATTCCTTGCCTCAGTCCAGTAGCGGTCCCTTGATACACTCCTTCATTTAGAAATAACCCCATTGAGGGTAAACGTCCCCTTTCTTTCCTCATTTGGTAAATACCCCCACAGGGGTAAATACCTTCCAGCCCTTACCCAGGGGAACAACATTGACATAAAGCCCACCACCAGTGTAGTTGCCGCTGTGCCTAAGCTTCATACTGTAGTGTAAAGACTTCAGCATCTGGGTTATATACTCCCTTGGCCCTCCTGCCAGCACACAGTTTCATACAATAAATACCCCATAACTACCGACTCTTGCATGCACCGTGGCCATGCCCCCTCTGCCACTTTCCTTTCATACAGTAAGTATCTATTTCACACCTCCACTGAATGATTAGTTCCCTGCTCCTCCATCTTCATATGATAAATACCCCTCACCCTGTCATTTCCACTCTCACTTGGTAAATACCTCCTTGGCCCTGCTGCCTATCTGTTAAATAATCCTCCATCTGCCCCCTGCACTTGCATAAGAAAATACCTTTTCATGTGGTAAGTACCACTACCCAGGGTGAACAAACCTACCATTTTCATACAGTAACAAACCTATTATCCTTGAACAGTAACACACCTCTAGAGTAAACATGGGGTGGAAAGTTGAGAGGCCTGTCACTAGAATGAAGACAATAACCTTGATGGCTGAGGCAGAACAAGCTCCAAGCTGTGGCTTGTGTTATCATGAAAGTGCAAGTGAAAACATCTCCACTGGGTGGACAGGTGGAACAAGTTTGCTTGGATGAGGGCAGGATTGAAAAATGTGGAGTATGTAGGAAAGTGCGTACACATGATTTAAAAGTACTTTAAAAGAAGATAAAAACGTAACATGTATTAACTACCTGTTCCATCTTAAAGCCACAAAGCAAGTAGCACTGGTGTATTGAGTGAATCAGGACCTTTTGTTTGTCGACATGCAAATTAACTAATCAGTCTAAGCCAGGGGTGGGCAAACTTTTTGGCCCAAGGGTCACATCTGGGTGGGGAAATTGCATGCAGGGCCATGAATGTAGGGCTGGGGCGGGGGTTGGGGTGCAGGAAGGGGCTCAGGGCAAGTGGTTGGGGTGCGGGGTGTGACGGGGCTCAGGGCAGGGGGTTGGGGGGCAGGAGGGGGTGCGGAGTGCAGGAAGGGGCTCAGCAGGGAGCTCAGGGCAGGGGGTTAGGGTGTGGGGTTCAGGAGGGGTGTGGGCTCTGGCCCGGCGCCGCTTACCTTGAGTGGCTCCGGGGTGGCAGCGGCGCGCAGTGGGGTTAAGGCAGGCTCCCTGCCTGCCCTGGCCCCACACCACTCCTGGAAGTGGCCAGCATGTCAGGCACTGGCTTGCCCTCTGCCTCCTGCTCCCCCAAAGGCCGCAGGAACGTGGTGCTGGCCGCTTCTGGGAACAGAACGGGGCCAGGGCAGGCAGGGAACCTGCCTTAGCCCCGCTATGCCATGGGGCTGGCAATCCCACGGGCCGGATTGAAAGCCCTGATGAGCCGGATCTGGCCCACGGGCCATATTTTGCCCTCCCCTGGTAAGCCTTCTGTTGTGTTATCACTGTATTGGAGAGAAAAGCTTTTCTAAACGTCTGAAAAATATGATATTTAAGTTTGATGCACATTTCTGAATTTTTTCAGCATTCTGTTCTGTTTTTGCCTTCCTGTTTAAGGACGCTATCTCATGGCTTTTTGTACCGATGGGAAGGAATATGTGTTATTTTCCATTTACTGTAATATTTTTCTAGCTTGGTTCAATGAACAGTAGTTACTGTGAGTTAATATAGTGTCTAACTGCATCAGCAGTCAAGTGTAAAACATCTAAAAGCTGTGCAGCCTATAGTGCTAGTTTTGGTGTTGCATTGACATGCAAGATCCAGATTTGCGAGTGACCTTGGTACTTCTGTTTCTGTGGCCGATAGATTTCAGATCCCTCAGAAAGGTAGCACATGTGCATTAAGTTATACGTAGGCATATGCCACTCTACTCTTTCTTGAGTTTAGTATAAGTAAGATTGCACCTGAGTGGGATGTAAGATCTTTTAGAAGTGATGGTTTTATGAAATATAGTTCTGTGGAGATAACGAACTTTGAAGGAAATGGGACCCTACAATTCTATACCAGTGATCACTAACCTGTCTTGCTCAGGACACCCAGAACTGTGAGCCACTGTGTTACACCTCTGCCTTAGCAAGAATGAGAGCTTTGCCACTGCTAAGCTGTGCGTCAGTTCTCTGACACACCAGTCTGTCTGTCTTTCCAACAAATTCATCAAGACTGTACCAGTGTAAACTTTCAGGTAACAATCAGTGAAGCCCAGTTCCGGACTTCTCCAGAGACGTCTCCCTGCAGTGTCCAGTCCCTCCCACTGGACACTCTCAGAAATTGTTTGGTGCCTCCAAAGAGAGAATGCACACATCAGACTGTAGGTTAGCTGAAAACTCACCCTTCACTTTAATACACAGTACTGGTTTTGTAATAAAACAAGAATAGGTTTATTAACAAAGAAGAGAGACTTTACTGGTAATAAGCAAGAGAAAAAGAGACAGATATGGTTGCAAATAAAACAATGCGCAACACATTTTCTAGTCACTAAAACTTAATCTTAGCAATCTTTGCCTAAGCGGTTTTCTTACTCACATCAAGTTATCAGCATCTCCAGGCCAAGAGAATGCAACTTTCACATGCTCACAAGGTGCTGTTCCCTGTGTCCCCTAAGTGATGGGTAACTAAAATATCTTTTTTGCTCCTCTTGTATTATTCAAAGTCCATCTTCTTGCATCTGAAGAAGTGAGGTTCTTACCCACGAAAGCTTATGCTCCCAATACTTCTGTTAGTCTTAAAGGTGCCACAGGACCCTCTGTTGCTTTTTACAGATTCAGACTAACAAGGCTACCCCTCTGATAATTAAGAACCAGGAAGGCTTCCTGGGGTGCAGATTCTGTCCCCTGCTGTGATGGTTCAATGGTCTTCTCCCTTGCTCATTTAGCTTGATGGCTTTGTTTACATTATATGTAAATGAACTTCCATTGTCCTCTGCCTGTAACCAAGCTGGTCAGATAGATAGATAGATATAGAGAGAATGAATGAATATAACCTGTACATGTATCACACAATGATTTTCAGGATTAGTGTGTCACCAGTACACACATGACACCTTCCCTGACACCTTTGATATATATATTTGGCCCTACCAAATTCACAGTCCAGTTTGGTCAATTTCACAGTCATGGGATTTAAAAAATTGTAAAATTTCATGATTTCAGCTATTTAGATCTGAAATTTCACGGTGTTGTAATTGTAGGGGACTTGACCCAAAAAGGAGTTGCATGGGGAACGCAAGGTTATTGTGGGTGTACTGCTACCCTTACTTCTGTGCTGTTGCTGGCAGCGGCACTGCCTTCAGAGCTGGGCAGCTAGAGAGTGGCAGCTGCTGGCCAGGAGCCCAGCTCTGAAGGCAGAACCGCTGCCAGCAGCAGTGCAGAACTAAGGATGGCATGGTATGGTATTGCCACCCTTACTTCTGTGCTGCTGCTGGCGGGGCGCCGCCTTCAGAGCTGGGCACCCAGCCAACAGCTTCTGCTCTCTGACCATCAGTCGCCGCTCTCCGGACACCCAGCTCTGAAGGCAGCGCAGAAGTAAGGGTGGCAATACTGTGGCCCCCCCTAAAATAACCTTGTGACCCCCCCCGCAACTCCCTTTTGGGTCAGGACCCCCAATTTGAGAAACTCTGGTCTCCCCCCGTGAAATCTGTATAGTATAGGTTAAAAGCACACAAAAGACCAGATTTCACGTCCGTGATGCATTTTTCATGGCAGTGAATTTGGTAGGGCCCTAGATCTATATTATGGCAACAATGTGCTGGGGAAATGAGTGTGTCAGGCCTGATGTGAATTACAGTATGGCGGGGGGAGGGGGGCTCTCTGCCACTTAGCCTTGAAGGGCTTGTGGGTCACGAAAGCTTAAAGATATTAAACTTTTTGTGAGCTGCCCTGTATAAGACATAGTACTATTTACAATTAAACATTCTTGCAATGATAATATATGGAGATATAGAACTGAAAGGTCATTGAGTCGAGCCCTCTGCCTTCACTAGCAGGACCAAGTACTGATTTTGCCCCAGATCCCTAAGTGGTCCCCTCAAGGATTGAACTCACAACCCTGGGTTTAGCAGGCCAATGCTCAAACCACTGAGCTATCCCTCCCTCCCCCCATATTTCATGATTTTTTTTTTTTTTTTTTAAATGTGGGCTAGGTTCAGCATTTTTCCTGTTGCCTTTCCTGTCTTTCCTGTTTCTCTTGTTACTTCAAACACTTGTTTGGTAATTACTTTACGATTATGTACAGGGCATGACCTTGCAAATATGTACCGGGCATGAAAATATCTGCATTTCCCCACATGTTAATTATACAAAGTTGCTAGTGTTTTTGCATTCCTCATAAATTGCACTGCAAATGTAATTTTCCCAAGTACAGTAACTTAGAACTGTCCAAGGAACATTGTAGAGATGAGGATCAAATTTTAATCTGCTTTTTATATCTGCAAGGTTCAT